TAATATTCCGTAAGATGAAAGATAACCTAGGATGTTGTTGTACAGCACTAAAATAGGAGAAGAATTATAGAAGAGTATGTGGCAACATAGTAATTCCAAGAAACGGTCTATCCTGGAGAACAAAAGAGGAGAGCACTGCAAGAGTCACTAATAAAGTAAGTCTGGGATAAAGGATCCTTTGCTCTTTGAGATGGTATGCAGGATAGTGCATCCCAACCTCTTGTGAGGACCCCTTTTTTGCTTTCTAATAAAATTGCTCTCACTAAAGTTATAAGTAGCCTCCAGATGGCTAAAATCAATGGCCTACTTTGAGACTTCATACTACTTGATCTTTTGACAACAGTTAATATAGTTGACCAAACTTCTGTTCTGTAAGCATTTTTTTCCTTCTTATTTCTCTGTGATTATTCTCTAAAGCATTTTCTTCTTTTTGTCCTACTATTCCTTTGTAGTTTTTTTAACAGAATTTTCCATTCAATCATTAGTGTCTTTCTGGGTCACGTTGTTATGGGTCCTTTACTCTTCTCCCTGAACTACCTCATTCATCACCTTCTACCATACCCAACTCCTAATAACTCACATGTCTATATATCCAGATATATATTTCTAACTGACTACTAGATATCTTTGTCTAGATGCTCTGCAGGCATCTCAAATTTAAAATGCTAATGCTTATCTTCCCCTCCAACTCCTACAAAACCTCCACCTCCTCCTTTATTCCCTATCTCAGAGAGTGGTACCACTATTCACCCAGGAACCCAAGCCAGAAATGTGGGTGTGATCCTCAACTCCTACTTCTCCACATTTAATGGACCATAGTTCTCTCAAATCTATGTTCAAAATGTTTCTGCAATCCAACCTCTCCTCTCTAGGCCCCAACAGCTCTCACATAAATACTTGTCAACACTGTTATCAACAATAACATCTTAGGAAGTTTACTCTACTGGAAGGCTCTTTCATTTCCAATTTTTTCTTTAGAATAGAGGCCATCAGACTTAGAGATTTCACGGTTCAGAAAAGTTTAAAAAATGGTTTTGAGAACTGACATAATATGGTTTTCTTTTTTAAAAAACGTTATCAGGTCACAAAACCCAAAATCATCTATTCTCACTTTCACATCATAGTAATTTAAAAGACTATTCAACCTCGGGGCGCCTGGGTGGCTTAGTCGGTTAAGGGTCTGACTTTCGCTTAGGTCATGATCTCGCGGTTCGTGGGTTCGGGCCCTGCGTCGGGCTCTGTGCTGACTGCCAGCTCAGAGCCTGGGGCCTATTTCAGAGTCTGTGACTCCCTCTCTCTCTGACCCTCCCCTGCTCACGCTGTCTCTCTCTCTCTCCTAGAAATAAATAAAACATTAAAAAAAAAAAAAAAAGACTATTCAACTTCAAAAGATAGAAAGTACCATACTCTTAGAAAACAGTTCTTTAAATATATTCGTCTTTTTATTATTTTTAAGTTTATTTCTTTATTTTGAGAAAGAGAGTGAGAAAGAGCAAGTTCATGAGCCAGGGAGGGCCAGAGAGAGAGGGAAAGAGAATCCCAACCAGGCTTTGTACGGTCAGTGCAGAACCCCATGTGGGACTTGACCTCACAAACTGTGAGATTATGACCTAAGCAGAAATAAGAGTTGGATGCTTAACCAACTGAGCCATCCAGGTGCCCCATTTGGCTTTTTAAATAAAACCGTTTACTGGATGGGAACCATTGCTCTAGAATTTAGACTGCCATCGCAGTGATCTTTAGCTAGCTTGAAAATCTCTGTATTGTATATCCATTTAAACTTATCCATATAATCTACATGCATATCCTTTTCTGGTTTTTAATGTCATATAGTAATCATTGTATTGACATGTCTATTATGGTCTTCTATTTTAAGCATTTTTTAAAATAATAAACTTTAAACATCCCTGTGACATATCACCTCCAGGCTTTACAATAAAAGCCATCCTCTTTAGCATAACATAAAAGGTCCTTTACAATCTAGTTGTAATTTACTCCTCAGCAAGAACTTATCCTAAACATTCCATATCCTTTCATACCTTTATGCCAGTGGTTCTCAGCTGGGAATAATTCCCTGTACCCTTCTCTAAGGAGACATTTGGCAACGTCTGTGTTATGATCTGAATTTTGTTCCCAAAATTCACATGTTGAAGCCCTAACCCCTATGTGACTATACTTGGAGACTGGCATATATATATATATGTGTGTGTGTGTGTATGCATATACATACATATGCATATGCATGTATATGCCATATCACCTATAGATTCTTTAAAGAATTATATCACATTTAAAAAATATAAAAATATTAAAAAATATCCTTACCTTTAACATTAAGCAATCAAGCTTTCTCAACTTTCCTTAATATATTTCTTGCTAAGCCTAAGTGTCCATCAACAGACGAATGGATCAAGAAGATGTGGTTTATCTATACCATGGAATACTACATGGCAATGAGAAACAATGAAATCTGGCCATGTGTAGCAACATGGATGGACCTTGAGGGTGTTATGCTGAGCGAAATAAGTCAGGCAGAGAAGGACAAATATCATATGTTTGCACGTATAGGAGGATTAGGAGGAACTTGACGGAGGACCAAGGGGGAGAAGAAGGGCGGAAATGGTGGGGGAAAGGGAGAGAGGCAAACCATGAGAGACTCTTGAATGCTGACAAAAACTGAGGACTGATGGATGTGGGGGGGAGGGGGGGATGGGCATGAAGGAGGGCACTTTGGGGATGAGCACTGAGTGTTATGTAGAAACTAATTTGACAATAAACTATTTGTAAAAAAAAAAAAAAATATATATATATATATATATATATATATATTTCTTGCTAATCCATTGCCAAAGGTCAATAAAACATAAGGGTGCCTCAGGACATCTAAGCCACCAAATGATCTACACAAATGTAAAATTTATAGGAGCATGGCTTACTAACATTTATCATTATTGTGTAAGACATTGTGCTATCATGAGTGCTTTCTCTCCGTATCGAAATTTAATTTCCCTTTCCTATGTAGTACTATTATTATACTCATTTTGGAAATAAGAAAACTTATGTTAATGTTAAAGTCAGTTAACACAAGTAAGGAAACTGAAATTTGGAGAGATTAAGTAACTTGTCCAAAGCCATACCACTAGCAAGGACTTAAAAATAAAAAATAAGACTGGGGATAAAAATGTTCTCCATTTTTAGAATCGAGGTTTTCTTAGTAAAAAATACATTTTCTGGATGAAAAAATAAATATGTCTTATTATATCCAGGCAACTGGATGGCTCAGTCGGTAGACCATGAAACTCTTGACCTCGGGGTTCTGAGTTTGAGCCCCATGATAGAGATTACTTAAAAATAAAATCTTAAAAAAATGTGTCTTATTCTAATGCATTGACTTTATAATTGGAAAAGTATCTCCCTAAGGAAAACATATATTTCTTATCTGCTTATCTAGTTAACCCTCTAAGACAAAATTACTTCACGTAGTCAGCTAGAAAAAATATTTTAGCCTGTGCTGGTATTGAGTTACATTATTTACTTGGATTCTTAATTCTCTTAGATTCTTTGAGATTTCAACATTTCTCATTCCTTTATGCTATTCAATTTCCTCTTGTAGAGAAACCAAATGAAGAAAAATGATGAAAATAAGGAGTGTCATGGGCTATTATTTTAAGAACTTACTCATTTACCCCAAATTCTGGAATTTCGTGGAAAACAACCATCCAACAAATAGCCATTACCATAGTTTTTATACAACTACCTTGAAATTTAATTTTCTTGCTTCTTTTCAGGAATAAAAGGGGTAGGAGTAGAATACAATCCCTTTGCATCAAAGAAACATTTTATCTTTGCATTTTAGTAGCTTTTTTTTAACTGAACAAATTTTATTTTGACATTGATAATTCTGTCAACTTATACCTCCAGCACCCCTTTCATTTATCAATGCTACAGTTTCTGGCCTCCAGAATCCTGCATCTCCTGGACTGGTTCTGAGATAGTAGTCACAGTCCAAATATTAATAGAATTTACAGAGGAACCGGGAAGATTTACAACAAATTTTGGAGGCATTTTTGATGTAGCAGATATTACTTATAAGGATATTAAAAATCTTCTGGCAGTAGCCTTGCACCTCAAAAGGGCAAGCTTTGATTTCTCCTGAGCTTGACCAGCCACATCCTTGCCCCTAGTCTGAATCTTTTAGACTGTTTTAAAATTCCTCAGCTTTGTGACAGATTAGCTGTCACAAAGAAAAGAATTAATAAATGACTTAAGTATTAGAACCTTATTTTATTCTTTATTAGTTACATGTCTATCTCATTGAATGCTAAACTTTCTTGAGGGTACAGATTTGTGTCACTCATTTTTGATCTCCTATCAAGAAAAATAACTTCTAATCTACAATCAATAAATGTTTACTGATTTGAAATTTCAATTGGGAAGGTAGAATACAGAATTATTAAACTTTTATTGCCTGATGCCTGTTTGGATTCTATTCACTTGCTGTGTAACCTGACATAAGTTTACAAAACTTTCTAATTTCCTCAACTCAGAAGCAGATAAAATGAGAAAATAAAGTACTTGGAAGTTTCAAAGTTCTATTTATATATTGACTATTTCCTGAGCTCAGACTGCTCTAGCTTAGGAGCTGGTAACTGAGTACAAAATACACAGGGTGTTTTCTTCAGAGCTCAAGGTAGCTGGGGAGACAGACATAAACCAATTTACCAAACATATTACATAATTATAAATTGCCATGAAAGGTTAAGAATTCTACGAGAGGTTCTAAAAGCAGGGCCTGACTTAGATTATTGAGGAAGAGTCTCGGAGGGAGGGACATTTCAGCTGAAATTTGAAGGATGACGAGTCTTTATTTCCTCACCTCCCTCTCATTCCTCAACTCTCTGGAGTCCGCCTTCCATCTCTCACTACCTAAGTAGCTCTTTCTAAGGTCACCAATGGCTTTCATGTCACTACATACAAATGACATTTTTCAGTTCTCTTACTTGACTTTCTAGTAGCACTCTGCGGTTAATCACTCTCTCCTCGAGATGCTCTCTTCCCTTGCCTTCTCTACTAATAAACGCCTCCTCATCTCTTCCTCTCTGCCTCTTCAGTCTCCTGTGCAGGTTCATCTCCTTAAGTACTTGGACATCCTCGCCGTGAACTGTAACTGTGAAAAATAACGCAGTCTTGAGTCACACAAAAAAAGCAAAAAACAAAAAAGGTGTACAAGTGAACATATTTTGGGGCCCTCTTCTCGCTTCCAGTACGCTTCATAAATCTGCGAATAAGACTTTTCGGTTCCAGCACAGACGCCCCTCTCTCTTGAGGGCTGGACAAGCACAGAGCAAGCACAGGCATTCAACGTGCCCGGGGAATGCCCAAGGAGTGGGACAAAAAAGGTTTTTTTGAGGTAGCCCCACTCGCACTTCAGGAGCCACAGTCGCGCGCTCCTGCCGAGGATCGCCCAACACCCCTTGGCGCTTAACTCTCGCTGTTGAGTCCTCCGACATCCCAGCATTCCCTGCGCCCCTACCATCGAGAGCAGCTTCCGGCGTCGCTCGTGTGGGTGGGTGAAGAAGGAGCGGGCACTCGCCGTTCTGTCTCACTATCTCGCGCTCTCTCGGGCAACATGGCGGGCGTGGAGGAGGCAGCGTCCTCCGGGAGCCACCTGAATGGCGACTTGGATCCAGACGACAGAGAAGAGGGAGCTGCCTCTACGGCTGAGGAGGCAGCCAAGAAAAAAAGACGGAAGAAGAAGAAGAGTAAAGGGGCTGCCACAGGTAAAGGGAGTTTTACGTGTTCCCATTCCCCTCCAGGGATGGCCGAACGGCTCGGCCCAGGCCCGGCAGGGGTGACAGAGACTGGGAACTCGGAACACTGTACTGGACTGATTCCCAGGACTGAGTGTGTGTCAACACCGGGCTACAGATTCCCAATCTCGGGGAGAGGTGGCTTCTCTTTCGGTGGGACTAGGGAGTTGGTGGGGGTGGGGTGGGGGAGAAAAGGGTGCTTCAGCCTGTGGTGAGGTAGTTCTGAGGTTGCTGGGCCTGAACCCTTATAAGTGCCAGAACTCAACTCCCACCCGTACAGACCTTGTGACGGACTTGAAGGGCCCAACTCTATCATTCTCCTCGCGGTGTACCTTCCTCAAAAATCTGTTCCGACCCGCGCTGTTGCCTCTTTGCCGAAGCAACCTGGAGCGTATTTTCGTCAAGGATAGGAGAGGAGTGGGGAAATCTTAGTGCCTTGACTGCACCTCCCCCCACCTTCCTGGTTCATAGAAGGATTTTTGTTGCGGGCTGCACTTCTGGGGTGTGTGTATATGTGTGTAATGCCCACGCGCTCATGTCACTGAGTAGTAATTGCAGAATATGTGGTAGTGATGCGAATTTTCCCCTGCCTAATCCCGTAGCATCAAGCTTCATGGCTTTTTGGTTTGAATTATGATGCCATTTGCTTGCAGTCCAGATAGAATATTATGTGGGTTGGAATGGAACTTCTCTAAATCCATTGGTAATGCAAGGAAAACAAGCTGAAAGTTTACACTTGGATTACGTTATGAGTTAGAAACTTAAATGTGTTTTTTTTTTTTTTTGAGAAGTCCGTGTTTCTTTGCATGTGGTCCTTCATTTTAGGAACGGAATGTTGTACCTGTTTCTAACATCAGCCAGACAAAGATTGAGAGACCAATGTAGAGGCCACAAGTGATGAAAGTGAAGTTGAGAGAGGTCAGAAAGACCTAACTTTCTAAAATTTTGATTAAATGGAAGTTGAAAAGGGAAAGTTGTGGGTGCTGGGACACTTCAAGAGAAAGTTTAATCCCTAGACATAGTCGGCTCTTCTTGTTCCATGGTGGGCTGTTACTGGCTTTTGGATGAAATCCAAACTCTTCAGTTTGTCCATTCAGGTGTTCGGTAGACTGACCCTGATGTATTTTTAGCAGTTGTATCTCTCCATATGAACCCTCTACAGTAGCCAGAATATCACTTCATTGTGTGCTAAGTGGTAATACTATTTCTTTACACACACAGCTGGATTTCTTTCCGACAGCTGGGTTGTTGTAATCATTTGGGTGAGGTGGGGGGAGCTGGTCTTGTGCTTAGCTGTTCAAGGATTTTGTTTTGCTTTAATAATGGAATTACATTTTTCTCTTCGTTTTGATTTTACCCATCCTGGCTTGACAACTTACTTCTTCCTGAAGATTTGAAGTTCCCAGTGTCCTGTACAAATCCTCCTCTTGCTAAGACCTTCAGTATTTACTACCTATCTTAACTACCTGTTTGGTTAATAAAGTGTTTTGGTGTAGTCAAATTGTTAAGTACTTTAAAAAGTGAAATAACTTAAGGCTAGGGACCAACTCACATTTTTGTTTATCCTTTAGTTGCTAGTACAAAGAAGGTGTAATGGATATTTTATTGAATGGACAATGCTACTTAAATGTGGCAGATTTTTCTTTGTCGTTAAATAAATTCTATTATGTTTACAATAATGTTTCTGTTTTTGTTTCCTGAATGCGTATCAGACAGGAAAGGACTTGTGTGTTCTCCGGGATCCTTAGAACATATTTTAATTGGAAATTATCTTTATTAGATTTGACTTATGTTATATTTGATCAGCAGGGCAACAGGAACCTGATAAAGAATCAGGAGCCTCAGTTGATGAGGTAGCAAGACAGTTGGAAAAACAAGCATTGGAAGAGAAAGAAAGAGATGATGACGATGAAGGTAAATGGTAAATTTGATTTTTGTGGTTAGAAAAGCAAGAAAGTCTGACATTCTTTAAACAAAATCTACTTGTGTCCTTATAGTTTATGATTCTCTGATGTGTTAATTGACAGTAAAGCCTCAATAGCATAGATTTTTGAAAAAAGGTGTTTATAAGCAATTCTTAAGACGTTGGATAAGTTGAATGACTGCTCAAATAACACAGATCTCAACTTCTTAAAATGTACTTGATAAAATACCAAATAGTGGGTGTTAAGATGAAATAGAAGGACTGTTTATTCAATTAACATATATTGAGCAACTTATATGTACAAGGCAGTGTCTCAGGATACTTTCACATGTGTTCTCATTTTATCTTCACAAACCCAAACAAAGTAGGTGCTCTTTTCAGGAAATAATAGTTACATCATTTGCCCAGTGAAACACCGCTAGTATGTGTAGAGCCAAAAGTTTCAAACCTACCACCTGATTCCAAGTCTATTCCTTTACTCTGTATGAAATCTTCCTCTCTTTATTTTCAAAGAGTATATGGAGTGCTTCTAAACTCTATTATAAATTAACCAGCCCTAGTTTTTTACATTATGTTTGTTCCTATAAGATTTCTTTAAAAATCAGCAATTCTTGGAATTCTGACAATTGATGTTATCGATAAGACAGTGGAGGGAGTATTTGCTAAGAGAACACTTTTTCTGTAGCCTTTTTTTAGCAGAAAAGGAGATGAGACTTTCCCATTCTTAATTGTCTCCCGTTGTCTCTTACTGCTCTTCCTCAAGCACTGCCAACTTGGGCTTGTGCCTTCTAATCCTTAGTAACACAAATACTTGCTATACTTTAATTATTGTGTTAGGATAAGGCAGAGTAGTTGTTTCCACTTTAGAAAGATAAATTCTATGCCTTCAAGGAGCTTATAGTCAAAATTTGGTGGAAAATATGCCAAAGTTCAAGGGAAAAGGTAGCTCTTCCTTAAGCAAATCTCTTGTCCATTTTACCTTGTTTTTGTGCTTCAAATTATGAACATATTTTGAGCTCTTAGCAAGAAAGGGACTGTTAAATTCAAGGTTGTACAATAGATTGCTGTAGGCCTGTGTAGAAGATCAAAATGTTAATCTTGGAAGAGTTTTCCTTATTTCATTTCACTTCTGCAAAGTTGTATGAATCTCTTGACTTGGAAGGAGAAAAGTTTGTCAGATTGATTGGAAATCATCAATGTTTTAAAGACGATTTGAGGAGTATTGTTTTTCTCTAATTGAGTTGTTTGCCTAATTCATTTCAATAATCACTATCAGCCAGTACTACTAGTCTATTGTGAGAGTTGTTTGAGAGGATAGAAAGTTAGTATTTCAGAATCTTTGTTCTAAAGAAAAACTGATAGTGGGGTGGAGAGACAAAGAGCAGAAAAGATATACTGAAAGCTTATTGAAATTTGGAGAGGAATTATGGGCTCAGTGATGAAGGAAGGCTCTTTGGAAGGAATGGGACTTGAATAAAACCAAACAGAGGAGACCACTTTGGGGCCGAACAATGCTGAGGATGTATTCAAGGTGCAGTGAATAGTGCAGACCAGCCATATGAGATGATTTGTTGAAGGAGCCTTGAAGCATTTTTAAAAGGAGAATGTAATAAGGGCACCTGGCTGGTTCTGGCCATTGAGCATGTGACTCTTGATCTTGGGATCATGAATTTAAGCCCCATGTTGGGTGTAGAGCTTACTTAAAAATAAAATAAAATGTTAAGAAAAAAAGAATGTTATAAAAATAAATTTAATCATATGTATGCAGGGTTATTAGAGGAAATATACAAGAAAGGCTTGGAGATCATTTCGGAGGGCACTTAACAGTTTAGGCAGGTAATAATGATGATTTAAATTGGTGGGCATAAATGAGAATGGAAGGAAGAGCTCATTGGAATAGTGGTTGTGGAAGCAAAAATTAAAGGATACAGGACTTTCAAACTGGGGAGAAGGAAGAAGAGGCGTTAGTAGATCCTAGAGTTTGAATTTGGATGACAGGATGTTGGTGCTGTTTACTGAAATGGTGAAGTAGAGAGGGAGAGTGGGTTGAGATTGGAGGAAGGAATTTGTAGGCAAAGGAGAAAGTATTGTGTTTAATTTTAGATGTGTTTAATTTGACACTGGAGTATTGGTGTGAAAAGTTCATCCTGTGGGCATTTGGCAGTGTGCTAAAAGTAATTCAATAAAGTTTTAAGTTAGGTTTTTAAAATTTTTTTTTAAAGTATTCAAGTCCAGTGTAATACTTGAACTCATGACCTTGAGATCAAGACCTAAACAGAGGTCAAATTGGACCTTTAACCAGCTGAGCTACCCTGGGTCCCCTAAGTCAGATTTATTAAGGTATAATTTGCCTAGGACTATATTCACCATTTTCAAAAAATACACTTTATGTTTTGGAGCAGTTTACTTAGGTTCACAGCAAAATTAAGCAGAGATTTCCCATATACTTCCTACCACCACACATACACAGCCTCTCCCATTATCAGCATCCCCCACTGGAGTGGTGCATTTGTGACAGTGGATGGACCTACATTGATATCTCATTATTATGCAAAGTCCATAGTTTATATTAGGGTTTTCGTATGATGTTGAACATTCTATATATCTGTCCTTTATAAGTATATTGTTTGGTGAGTTTTGACAAATGTGTGCATTTGTGTAACTACAACCAAGATGTAGACCGTTTTCTTTTTTGACGTTTGTTTATTTTTGTGTGAGAGAGAGAGAGAGCGCGCGTGAGCTGTGGCGGGGTAGAGAGAGAGGGAGACATAGAACCCAAAGCAGGCTCCAGGCTCTGAGCTGTCAGCACAGAGCTTGACTCATTAACCACGAGATCACGCTCTGAGCCGAAGTTGGATGCTTAACTGACTGAGCCATCCAGACACCTCAAGATGTAGACCATTTTCATTTAACATTTTCATCTCCACAGAAAAGTTCCCTTGAGCCCCTTGAAGTCTGTTCTCTGCCTCATACCCTGATCCCTTGAAACCTTTGATATATTTTTGTTACTATAGTTTTTTCTACAATATAATATATATGGAATTATTAGAGTGTGTGGCTTTTTTTGGCTTATTTCCCTTAGCATGATACTCAGAGAGTCATTCAGTTGCTGCACATGTATCAGTAGTTCATTACTCTTTATTGCTGAATAGTATTCCAGATTCATTTATCCATTTATTAGTTGATGGATATTGGGACTGTTTCTAGTTTTTGACTTCTGAATAAAGTTACTGTAAACATTTGTATACAAGACTTTGTGTAGACAATACATTTTCATTTCTTCTGGGCAAATACATAGGAGTAGGGTTGCTAGTCATATGGGAATTATATGTTTATAAGAAACTATCAAACTGTTATTTAGAGTAGCTGTATCATTTTGCTTTCTGGTCAGCAGTAGTTAAGAGTTTCAGGTCCTTTGATTCTCATAAGCATTTGGTATTGTTAATTTTAAAATTTTAGCTTTTCTAACAGGTGTGTACTAGTATGTCGTTGTAGTTTTAACATTGCATTTCCCTAATGATTGATGATGTTGAACATCTTTTCATGTTTTTGCCTTTCATATATCTTTGGTGAAATGTTCACATCTTTTGTCCATTTTTCAGTTGAGTTGTTACTGAGTTGTAGTGGTTCTTTATTCTTGATACAAACTCTTTAGTAAATGTTTTACTAGTATTTTCTTTCATGCTAGTATTGTTTGCAGCAGAAAAGATTTTAATTTTGATGAAATCCCATTTATTTTATTTATGGGTCATGTTTTTTGTTTGTTATCCAGAAAGTTAAATAATTCTGTCTCTAGGGCCATTAAGATTTTTTTTCATGTTCTCTTCAAGTAGTTTTATACATTTTTATTTTTATTTATTTTAAAGAATGGAGAGGGTTTTAAAAAATATTTATTTTTAAGAGACAGTGCGTGCATGAGCAAAGATGGAGCAGAGAGAATTTTGAGCAGGCCTGGCACTGCCAGCACAGAGCCTGATTTGGGGCTCAAGCTTACAGACCATGAGATCACGAACTGAGCCAAAATCAAGAGTTAGAATGGATATTCACCCAGCCGCTCCAAGAAGTTTTATATATTTGTAGCTGTTATGTTTAGGTTTATGATCCATTTAGAATTAATTTTTGTATCTAGTGGAAGGTAAGAATTAAGATCCCTTTTTTCCTTGCATATAGATGTCCACTTGTCATTCAACAAATATTAATTGATTTGGGCATAGGGCTAATACAGCAATAAATATGAACAATCTCTATCTGTTAAGAATATCCTGGAATGCTATGAAAGAAAGACTTACAAAAACATAAGTTGTGGGGCACCTGGGTAGTTCAGTCAGTTAAACGGGACTTCAGCTCAGGTCATAATTTCACTGTTCATGAGTTTAAGCCCTGTGTTGGGTGCTGTGCTGACAGCACAGAGCCTGGAGCCTGCTTCAGGTTCTGTGTCTCCCTTTCTCTCTGCCCCTCCCCTGCTCCCATTCTGTCCCTCAAAAATAAATAAATGTTAAATAAAATATAAAATGCAAAAATAAATAAACGTTAAAATCAAAATAAAAAAACAAAAAATTGAAAAAATAAACTTTAAAAGAACACATAAATTCTGGCATGGTCTAATGCATGGGCATATAAGCATATATAGTTCAGTATTTGGATCCAGGCTCTACTACCCTTCTGGCACAAGAGTTCATTAAACAGTAGCTATTATTCCATACTGAATACAGACCTTAAACATTGGATAAAGTAGTTAGTCTCAGGAGAATGATTGAGTATCAAGGGATGAGCTTTATTTTCCCTCATTTATAAGTTTTTTTTTAATGTTTTATTTATTTCTGAGAGAGAGAGAGAGGCAGCGTGAGAGGGGAGGGTCAGAGAGAGGGGGAGGCAAAGAATCCGAAGCAGGCTCCAGGCTCTGAGCTAGCTGTCAGCACAGAGCCTGACACGGGTCTTGAACCCACAAACCCTGCGAGATCATGACCTGAGCAGAAGTCGGATGCTTAACCGACTGAGTCATCCAGGTGTGCCCATCTTCCCTCATTTAAAGATGAAGAACCATTGTAGAGAGAGGCTAAATAATTTGCCCAGCATCACACAGCTGGAAGGATTTTTAGGGTGTATTTAAACTGGTTATATATCTTGAAGCATTTAAGTTGAGTGTAGTGTAGTTGAGTGTAGTAGTATGGTAGGCATTGAATGTTCATCTTGTTTGCTATTCTCCTATAACCTGGTACTTTAGAACTCAGCAAACTTTTTAAAAATTTTTTTGTTTAATGTTTATTTTTGAGAGAGAGTGTGCGCACACACGTGCATGAGTGGGGGAGGGGCAGAGAGAGAGAAAAGACACAGAATCCAAAGCAGGCTCCAGGCTCTGAGCTGTCAGCACAGAGCCCAACGTGGGGCTGGAACTCATGAACCACGAGATTGTGACCTGAACCAAAGTCGGATGCCTAACTTACTGAGCCACCCAGATGCCCCTCAGCAAACGTTTATTGAATGAATGGAAGTTACTATTAAAATTGTAGTGCAGAATATGTGAATTAGATTATATGACACATGAACAAATTAAAGTGTTTTCTTTTTTAATTAAAAAAAATTATTTTTCTTTTAGGGAGAGTGCCTGCAAGCAGGGGAGAGCAGTGGAGGCGGGGTGGGGGGGGGGGGGGAACGAACCTTGGGATTATGACCTGAACTGAAATCATGAGTCAACCATTCAACCAACTGAGGCAGCAAGGCACCCTGAAAGTTGTGCTTTCTTAAAAAAAAAAAAAAAAAAAAAAAAACAATTTTTTTTTTCACGTTAGGGGCACCCGGGTGGCTCAGTTGGTTGCCCTGATTTCGGCTTAGGTCATGATCTCCCAGTCAGATCAAGCCCTGCATTGGGCTCTGCTCTGACAGCATGGAGCCTGCTTGGGATTCTCTCTGTCTCCCCCCTCTCTTTGTTCCCCTCCCCTGTGTATATGCATGTGCGCTCTCAAAAATAAACAAACATTAAACAAATTTTTTTCCTAGTAATTTTGTTGGGCTTTTGAATCTAGAAACCAATAATAAGTAAGTCAGCAGTTACAAAACAAAAAAAGATAAGATTGTAATTTTGTGTGATAATTATTTTAGAAGAATATAGTAGGTAGCATGGTGAGATAGTTTCTTTTATGACTCCTGCTTATCATTCTGGGAGTAAAAAGGAAACTCTTTGATCAGAAAATGTAAGCATTCATTTGACATTGTTTTATGGGTGTGGATTTCATGTTCTAAAATTATTGATGCTAGCCATGAGTTACTGCCACTAGGGGGAACATGTAAAAGAAGACTATATGGTGAACATACTATTAAACTGTCAACTTCTAATTATTGTCGCAACTTCATCCCTGTTTCATAGCATTGTGATTTGTGGGTAGATTGGTGTATTTCATGATTGTTGAAATTTATTGAGCAGCATTTTTAGAAATTCAGACATTGAGTCTATTTTTTGGTAACTTTATTTAAAATGTTTTAAATCACTATTTATTTAATATTGACCATAATAGTATCTTTTCTCTTTTCTCCAAGTTCAAGAGTATGGCATGGGCTTCATAAAAGATTGTTATAAAAACTGACAGATAGTGCTTATTTTGGTTACTTTTTTGCCAACTATTTTTTCCAAATAGTTCTTAATCTCCATTTTTTGGTCTCAGGTTCTTCTGAGAACTGAACCTAGGAAAAGTATATATGCCCTCTGATTTTTGTATACAATTTGATCCAGAATTCTTTTTCTTTAATAACAACTATATAGGAAAAGATATTTAAAAAAATTTTTTTTAATGTTTTTTATTTATTTTTGAACGAGATGGACAGCGCAAGTCGGGGAGGGACAAAGAGAGAAAGAGGGAGACACAGAATCTGAAGGAGGCTCCATGCTCTGAGCTGTCAGCACCAGAGCCCATCGCAGGGCTCAGACCCATGAACCGTGAGATCATGACCTAAGCCAAAGTTGGATGCTTAACCAACTGAGCCACCCAAGGGCCCCAGGAAAAGATACTTTAAAATATGACCCCCCAAATATCCCTCCCTGGAATATTCTTTGTCCAGTTCTGCCATTTACCAGTTGGGATTCTCTTGCATGTCCCTTAAACATTCCTTGTTTTACCTCCTAAAGGTCCTTTGAGGATCACATGAGGTCATGAAGTGTTAAACTGAAAAGCATATGTAAACAAAGTAAGATTTTAGGTGAAGTTACACAGTTGTTAGTATTAAACTAACTAGTTATTTTTCCTAGTTTTTGAAAAAAGTGTTAATATATTTTTTATTCTTAAAAATATGTTACTCAATAATTCTTTTATTAATGTCAAAGTTTCTTTAGTGCTTTTGATCATACAATTCAAATTCTGATACATTAGCAATTGGATCAGCTCTATTGTATGCCATTTAAGATGCTTTGTGTGTGTGTACTTCTCTGCTTGTGCTTGCTTGGTCCCTCTGCTTCTGAGGTTTAAATAAATGTGTACTTGAAATGGTCTTTTCTTAGATGGAGATGGGGATGGAGATGGAGCAGCTGGAAAGAAGAAGAAAAAGAAGAAGAAGAAGAGAGGACGTTAGTGTATTAAGTTGATCTTACTAACAAATTAGAAGTGTTTGTTAACCAGCAAGTTTGAAGTGTAGATTTGAAGTTGTTTAAGATCCCAGTGTATGTTAAGGAAATAAATTTGGGCTTAATAGAAGTAGTATTTAGTGAAACTCATGACTATTTTTTCATTTAACAGTCCTGTTCGTGTTTTCTTTACCTTTTATTGAGATAAGGGATGTTAATAATTGATTCATTTTACTGCAATTTAGGGATGAGCTTATCATTTAAAACTTGAATAATGCAAATAACAACTCTTTCAGGGATGACTAAAGTGATGCCACTGTGTGGTAATAGGAAAAACGTAGTTTGTAGTTCACCTGCAGCTTTGAAATTATGAGATTCTTGATGAATATTTAATGAGGATTCCCATTATTTAAAATTGGTGCATATGGCAAAATTTTACTAATGACATTGTACTATTTCATATTTACTTAAAATATGATTCTACTTGCGTTTTGTTTCTTTAAATGGCCAACCAGCACTTTAGGGATCTGAAATTCTATTTAGAGAAACAGGGGAGAATGTATGGTATTGGGGAATAAATGTTGGGTTGGGTTGAGAATCAAAGCAAGTGCTAATCTTGATGCCCTCTGGGGATCAATGAGACCATTGAGTATTTGCTTATACCTTTCTTTAAATCTTTTTGGCTAAAATTGTATGAATCAGAATATTGGGGCTTGACTCATTTTTATCTGTATTGAGAGAAATACGTAAATATTTTTTAAGAAAGCTATTGGCTCTACCAGCAATTTTCCTGATGTGTCTCCAGATGAAGATGGGATAGCCTTCTTTCTGTTCAGGCATCTACTTTTGTTAGATCCTTCTACACATCAGATGTCAGTTCTGTCCCTAGCATAGTCTGTATTTAATGAGCACAGGTTACCTGTATTCTGGGAGTCTTCCAGAGATGTGGTATCATATTCCTTCCATTCAAAAATTGCTTAACATGTGCCTGTGAGACATGGTATTGTCTGAAAATGGTTTGAGAGATAACTGTTTCTCCCAATACTCTTAAATTATTCCCTAATGCAAGTAGATAAACAGGGAGGAATGTTAGGGGCTACTTTGTATTTGCCATTGGTAGAATTCTTCCACTGACATGTTTTAGTAAGATGCCATCAGCTTTTATTGTGCCTCCTCTGAGGATGTTGTTGAACCTATTGTTCATTGTATTTCTTTATGAGTACTCGTAAAAAATACTCTTCTGTGTGGTCTTAGTATCAAGAATAATTGTGCTTTTCCTGAGTACTTAATGTATTTATCTCATAAGTATGATGTATATGCAAATAACCTAGCTTTTTAAAAAAAATACTGGCTACTAGAGAGCTTAGAGTCAAATCCGTGGTTTTGTATTGGCAATATTTCAGGTTCTGTTTTATGTTCTTGCCATGTTTTGATTTTTTTTCCCTCTAATTTACTATTTCTTATTTGTATATTTTAGATCTCCTTGTAGGCTCTCATAAATCACTTCTGGAATAAGCCAAATAATGTAATTATGAGCCATTCACTGCCCCTATTTTCCTCATTTGTAAACTGAGAGAATTATAAATGATAGCAGTGATAACTGCAGTACAGATTGTTATAATTCATAGTTTTAGATAATAATTTGGGCATAGTGCATTATAATTTTCAAAGGTTATTGAAGATTTCATCTGGTTCTTCATTTTGTAGATGAGGAAACTGAGGCTTGGCACATTTGGCCGTCTGTCCAAGTCACAGTTAATAAGTGGTTTAGGTTAGACTTCAACTCTCCTATTTTGATTACAAATTTTTTTCTCTAATGTTCTTTTTGAGTCTTTTGTCTTACTAATTTTTGGACAGTATAAAAGGCATCTGTCAGATTTATAGAGAGATAAAGCTGAGGGTGATAATACTTTTGTTGATAAACTCAAGATTTCAAAAGATCAGGAAAACTGAAAAATAGACTAGGATTAGCAAACTGAAATTTTATAAATGTATATGAAGTTAGTACAGGGTGATAGGATCTAAAGATTTTGAGTGCTAAAACATTGTGAGCCAAAAAGCAGGGAGTTTTCACTATTTAATAGTTCTAGGATTGTTAGAATTAGTAGTATAGTTTTATATTAATTATACCTTATTTGGACTATTTATATAAATCAGTTCTGATACCAGCTTAAAAAGAACATTGACAAATTCAGGGTTGGCACATAGGGGTGAAAGTGTTAAGAACCATTTCCCTTAAAGTGGTTTCTCATCATAGAGAGGAAGGAATCCGTAGAAATGAAAAGTAAAATGTTTTCAATGCAAAGAATAAAGCTAGAACTAACAAGCATAGGAAGAGCTTTCTAATAGCAGTTCTTGTAGAATGAAAGGATTTTTGCTTGGGAGATGAAGCGTGTTTCCAGTTTTGAGTTCACTGCCCTCTATCAGAGGACATTAGGGGATTCCTAGGTTTAAGTGTAAAGCTAAATTAGATGACCTCTGAGATCTTTTTTGATTTTAAAATCAAATGTTCCTTCTGAGGAGGATCCTAAAGCAGTGTTTCCCAAGTTTACTTGTCCGTGGGATGCTTTTAAACATTATGTAAAGACAGACAAACATTTGGTGCTCATGAGATACTATTTGGATTAAAAGAAGGAACCAAAACATGGTTCCATAGATAATTTGCCTCAATAAATGGTCATATTTTTATTTATATAGTTCTTTTTCCCCCCCCATTGGAGAACAAGAAGAGCAAAATATATGTTAAAATTTAAGACAAAAATCCACAACATAAGACCAGTTATAATAAAAAGAAAACCACATATTTCACCTCAGTAGTTGAAATGCTACAGATATACATTGAATGTCTTATATCACTATATAAATTAACTCAACTTCCTGGCATTCTTTTGAAACAGCAGATATTACTAAAGGGTGGTTCTTCATATAATAAGAACTATATAACTAGTTCTTATGTATTTAAAACATTTTTTTAGAAGACAAATCTCCAGATATTTTTAAAAGTCCTCTTGGAACACTGGTGTGTTTTAGAACATAGTTTGGGAAATAATGCTCTTAAAACATATGGAAGGACTATACCTTTTCTCAAGTACCTGGAAATTTGTATAGGGCTACCTAAATTCTTTTAGCACTGGGTATATATATACTCTTAACTTTTATACCTAATATTTCCTTGAAATAAGTTTTTCACTTCTAGCTTTATATTTTTACTTAATTGCTATAGGATTTCTTTCATATTTTCTTGTTGCTTCTTTGATTTTTATTTGTGAAAACCAGTCTTTATATGCTATTCCATTTCCAGTATAGTAAATGAAGACAAAAATATTAAAATGTGCTTTCTGCCAAGGCATATGCTGTTTAAATATATAAAGGAATTCTAGAGAGTTGAATATTTCTTTTCCCAAGCATCTGTACATCGGAGAGGAGGTAGCCAGGTGAAATATCTTATGTTTTTAACTGTAAGGCAGCAAGGAGATTCTTTAAAATTAGGTCATATAGCAACCATTAGGAACTGAGAAAAACTGTAATGATAACTGCTTAATTTCATTTTTAACTACAGGAGTTAATGCTTTATTTGTATCTCACAGCAAAAGTTCAAACAGACCCTCCCTCAGTTCCAATATGTGACCTGTATCCTAATGGTGTGTTTCCCAAAGGACAAGAATGCGAGTACCCACCCACACAAGATGGGTAAGGATTATAAAATCACTTCCAGTTTGATTTTTGAAAATTGTAGCTTAGCAATAAAGCAGATTTGATTTTTCTCAGAACTTTGCTTTACTGCCTTAATAAAAGCTTGTGAATTTGTTAACCAAAAATACAGTAGAAGCCCTCTTACCTAAAATAATTGGGACTGGTCATAGTTTAGTTAATCAAAAAAGTATGTTAAAGTGGGGAATCACAAAAAATAAAAATCTTTATTGGTAAAAGTTAAAATAAACATTTGTTTTTTTATCATTCTTGATATTTGAACATGTTTTTTCTCTTTATAAGCTATATCCATAATGCACTGTCTGTGAATGTATTCCATTTTGAGCTTCTGTGAATAAAAACTATGTAATCTGAGGGCTAATACTTACATGTTTACATTTTTTCCCTGAAACCATTTGCAGTTCTTATCAGTACTTAATTTGACAAGTTGGGTTTTTTTTGATGACTTGCCTTTATTGAGATTTTCCTGAGTAATCAGTTTAGTTTTCATAGAAACAATTTTTTGTGTACTATATAACAAAATTACATAATTATAGTAACTGATAATTTACATCGGTTTGTGAACAAATCACTTGATTGTTCTGAACGGCAACAATTTCTGCTGGTCAACAGACACTCATGGTGTCATTATTTGACTGGTTAAGAACATGGGAGCTGGGATTCATCTGAATCCCAGCTCTAACACTTATTAGCTTTGTGACTTGGGCAAGTAACTTACCATGTCTTTGCTCTCATTTCTTCATCCATAAAATGAGCACTTCATAGGTTTGTTGTGAAGAAGAATAATGTATGTAAAGCACTTAGGAGGGTAACAGACACATGGTAAGCATTCTTAGTTGCTGCTGCTGTTATTATTCAGAATAGGAACCTGTCCACCCCTTATTTTCAGAATACAGTGACCATTGGTCAGTATATTTTACAGAGGGAATCAAGACCATCAGTTAATCCAGTGGTAGCTATAGTTGGTTAAGAAAGCTTCTACTGTAGCCTTGTTTCATTGACCTGTAAAGACATCATTGTTTCTCTTTAAACTTAGGAAAGAACATGATATTGTTATATTTTAATTGCCCTCTTTCATTCCCAATACCTATAGGAAATAAGTCTATAAAGTTCTGAAATTTAATGTCATGAGCATCTTTTCTTTGAATTTGAATTCATCAATCACCATCCCTATCTTAAAGCATCTATTTTTGAAATGTTACAGGCATGTAATTTAACTTTTCATTGTACATGCAATATAATCACATTTATTTTTAAATATAATCTTTTTAATTTTTTTTTTTTTTGGCTTGTTCCCTCTTCTTTCCCTTCCTTACAGACCCATGTAACCACCTAGCAGGTAGCCTTCCTTATTTTTATATGCTCATACATGTGCACATCTATGTCTGTTTATGTAAGGGGAGTGTTTTGGTCTTGTTTGTTTTGGAATCCTGTACACACTTTGCTCACCTTTTCTCATTCAGGAAGGCTCTCCAAGTTAGTCAGAAAACCTGTTATTCTTTTGAATGGCTTCATAATATTCTATGGTGTGAATATGCTACATTGTATTTCGCCATTTTCTAATTGATGAGCATTTACTTTGTCTCTAATATTTTTTGCCATATTATAAACCATTCCATAATAAGTATTTCTTAAGTATACACATATAAGTATACACATATGTATTTATGTATAGGTGTTTATGTACGTATCTCCTTACACTCTAGCAGGTTTACTGTGGGATAGTTTTCCAGGAGTGGAACTGCTAAATCAAAGAATAAATTAATACTTTAGTTTATGATTCCCAAACTGCTAACTATTGTGAGCATTTTTTGATTGCTAGCTTTGTTCTTTTGCTCTTTTAAAAGTTTTAAAATTTTGAATACGGTATATTGTACCTCTGGATTCCTAGCAGTCTCTTAGATTTTTTTCAAACTCTTCCTCTGTTTTATTACATCTTTAGTTACTCTGGAATTTTTTTGTGTAGAGTTGGGAGTGCTACTTTTATTTTCTTTCAAATGGATAGCCAATTGTATTAGAATTCTTTATTAAATAATTCACTCTACTCCATGGAATGACTACCTCGGCCATATTCTATATTCTCATATTATCAGACTATATTTTCATAGTCAACCAATTTCTATTATTGTACTGATCGGGGCGCCTAGGTGGCTTAGTTGGTTAAGCGTCTGACTTCAGCTCAGGTCATGATCTTGCGGTCCGTGGGTTCAAGCCCCGCATTAGGCTCTGTGCTGACAGCTCAGAGCCTAGAGCCTGTTTCAGATTCTGTGTCTCCCTCTCTCTCTCTGCCCCTCCCTGGCTCTTGCTCTGTCTCTCTCTGTTTCAAAAATAAATAAACGTTTAAAAAAAAATCTATTATTCTGCTGATTCATTTGTGTATTCCTGTGCTAGTATTATTTGGATTTGATTATCAACAACTTTATAATATATGTTGATAATTTGATAAGGCAAGTCTTTCTCCTCTCCCATACACACCAAAACACAGTTCTTTTTTATACTAAGCTATTTTCAGTCATAATAGTTTTAACACATACACCCACAGAAAAATGCTCTCATTAGAATTCTGATCAAAATAGCATTATATTTATGTATTTTTTTCTCAGAAAATTGACAGTTGTGTCACATCTTATCCATTAGTATATTTTCCCACTTACTCTGAGTTTTTTCAGGTAGGTCCTGCCCCATTTTTGTTATATTTCTTGTTTCATGGTTTTGTTACTGATGTGAACAAGATGTTTTTATATGTGCTTCCATTTCTGTATGTTTATTGCTAAGTGGAAGAAAACCATTGATTTCCTATACTTATTAATAAGTAGATTTAATATTTTTAACAATGTGAATATGGTGAACAGTTGAAGTAATGTTTAGTACAAGGAAAATTGAAATTTTATAAACCTTAAAAACTATCTTTCCCTCCTTACTATCATCTTTTGCAAATTAAACGTTATAGAGGCAGAATAACCTCTGATTTTGAAATAGAGAAAGATATTAATTATATGTTATGTTTCTTAATACTTAAATATTTAAAAGTAATATTGTATGCTGTGAGGAAATAAAGAAATTTATTGTGGTTATGTTTCCTTTTTAGTAAGTTTTAATATTTTTTCATATTCATATGGCCAATTTTGACTATTTACAAATAGAACCAATATTCTTAGATTTGGTAGAGTATTAAATACAGTTTTGTATCTGCCTTTTTTTAAAGCTTTTATTTAAATTCTAGCTAGCACACAGTATATTACTAGTTTCAGGTGTACAGATAGTAATTCAATACTTCTGTACATCACCCAGTGCTTGTCACAACAAGTGCTCTCCTTAATCTCCATCACTTGTTTCACCTATTCCACCTAACCATCAGTTTGTTTTTAGGTAAAAAATTTGTTTCTTTATTGTTCCTTTTTTCTTTCATTATTTTTTTAATAAACTTACTAAAAATTGCATGAATTATCACAAAGAACTTGCCTGTGTAACTACCGCCCAGGTTGAGTGCAGCAGTTTACTTAGCTTTTTATTTATTTTTATTTAAAATAATTCTGTAATTAAGAGAAAGAATTCCATATTACGAGAATAGTACAAAGAACTCCAGCATACCTTTCACTCAGGTTTTCTTTAACATTTGCCTCTCTAAAGCTCTCTCTCAGGGGAATATGACAATTCTACAGAATATATATATATTCTATATAATATATCAGTAACATTCGATTTTCTCCTTGGAAGATAGAAAGATAGAAGGCAGATGTGGAAAATGTTACGTTAGTGAATTTGTATTCATACTACTTTTTCTGAATTATTTGAAAGTAATTTGTGTATTTTTGATGGAATACTAGACACGTAGATAGGTCGTTTTCAGAATCTAGAGGCACACGATGATAATTCCTCGCTTGGATAAGGTATATCCAGTTTCTCTAGTGTGTAATTACTATTTTTTCCTCATAATTAGTAATTTGCACTTCTAAAAACATTGACTTTCTGTGTGGATTTCCTGTGTTATTAAAAAATTTTTAAACCAGTTTTGAATGACTATACTCTATTTTGTATCTTAGTATAATTTTATTAGTGATTTTCTTATTTTTGAATATTTATACTGTTTTCCAATTTTTACCATTAGAAAAAATTCTGTAATGAATATTGTAGTATATTAATTGGATCTGATTTTCCTCGTATTCTGGATCTCTAGAAGTAGAATGAGTTATTTTGAAATTCTGGATAGCTATTTCTAAATTTAGTAGACAGTTGTTGGTGACAGTTAAAGCAGTCCATGTCCATTGTAGAAGAGGTAGAAGATACAGATAAGCAAAAAGAAAAAACAGAAATCTTCTAAGTTCTGGCAATGGAATTTAAAACCATGATTAATGTATTGATATTTCTTCTGATATAGCCTCTCTTTTATAAATGTGTATTTTAAATACCTGGGAATGTTCTTCAAGATAAAACTATACTGCAAACAGCTTTGTAACCCATTTTAAAATTAACTTTTTGGGGCACCATGGTGGCTCAGTAGGTAAAGCATCCGACTCTTGATTTTGGCTCAGGTCATGATTTTATTCCTGGTTTGTGAGTTCAGTTCCTTCATCAGTCTCTGTGCTGACAGTGTGGAGCCTGCTTGGGATACTTTTCTCTCTGCCCCTACTCTGCTCGCTTTGGCACTCTCAAAAATAAATAAACTTTAAAAAAACCCCACAAAACTTTGTTTTTATGTTAGCAAAGAAATCAACAATATTTTTATATGTCTCTGTATATATGTATGTGTTTTTTATTGTTGATTTTTTCTTTTTGATAGACCATTTAAAAATAAGTCTTTTTATAAAGTAATCCCTACATACAACATGGGGTTCGAACTCATGAGTCACATGTTCTGCCAAATGAGCCAGCCACTTCTAAAAACTTGGAAGCATCTCCCAAGAATTAAGATATAATCCAAATTACCACATTTACATAAATTAACAGTAAACTTCCAGTATCCTGTAAATACTTAGTTCTCCATATTTAGAATTTTTTTTCTGGTTGTCCCTGAAACATCATCTTAGTCATTTTTGCCCTCTAAATGAAGATCCAGTCAAGGTTCACATAGTGCATATGGTTAGAATCCCCATCTTCTCTTCTGTTGCACTGACTTTTTGAAGAGACCATGTTCTGGGATTTCTCTTACTGTTTCCTTGTGTATCATTAAACATTTTTCTCTAGTCCTTTATTTTCCGTAAACTGGAATTAGTTGTAAAGGTTTAGATTAGTTTTAGATTTTGACAGGGACATATAAGTGGTACTGTGTTCTTCATATTGTATCATAGTTTGTTGTATCAGATATAATGTCAGATTGTTCTGTTACTAGTTTTACTGTATGTGGTCACTTGGTTAATGTGATAATAGCCAGCTGTTTCTTTTTTAAAAGTACTTTTTTCTTTTTGCAGTTTCCAAGTAATCTGTGGGGTAGTTTGGTACCATTGGAATATCCTTTTTTTTTCAACAGCCTTTTACTTAATTATTTTAATATCCATTCATGCTTTATCAGTTACTTCTTTGGGGACTGCAAAATGGTGAATGTCTGATTCTGTAGTTCCTTTTACATTTATTAGCTGATTTTCTATAAGAATTTTCCTTTATCAGCTGGGTATCAATTAACTTTATCAGTTAACTATAGTTTCTCAGGCAAATTTCAAACATGCTTTATTTTTCTCTCTACCAGTTTTCAGAGGAAGGAATTGGTATAGGTGCAGTCTTAATTTCTGGCTTAAGGATTTTATAAGTGTGGTATTTGGTGCTTTAAAAATATAAATGTAGGGGCGCCTGGGTGGCTTAGTCGGTTGGGCGTCCGACTTTCGCTTAGGTCATGATCTCGCGGTTCGTGGGTTCGGGCCCCGCGTCGGGCTCTGTGCTGACTGCCAGCTCAGAGCCTGGAGCCTGTTTCAGAGTCTGTGTCTCCCTGTCTCTCTGACCCTCCCCTGCTCACGCTGTCTCTCTCCTAGAAATAAATAAAAAATAAAAAATAATAAAAAATAAAAGACATAGGGTAGCAGAACGGATAAAAAACCAAAATCCATCTATTCTCTGTCTACAAGAAACTCATTTTAGACCTGAGGACACCTTCAGATTGAAAGNAAAAAAAAAAAAAAAAAATTAAAAAAAAAAATATATAAATGTAAGTAGCTTTCAAGTTACCCATGCAGTGAATTCAGAAATGTTTACAACTATTTGAAACTAATAATTGGATTCCTTTGTATCTTGGTTTTACTTCCGTTTTATGTTCTTAATACATCTAGTAAAAATGATGAAATACTGAAAAGACTCTGAAATATGAAAGAGATGTGGAAAATTTACATACTCTGTAAACGCTTCTATAAAGATTCTCTTTCAAGCAGTTATTTTGATAGTTTTGCTGTACATACATAATATGTTTAAAAAGTATTTCTAATCCACCTCTGTCATTTGGATGAATTAATTGCCTTTTCAGTGGTTATTAGCTCAGAATGTTTTTGATTTTACTAATTTCTGTATTTTTGCTAAATAGACTGAACATCAAAATACCAAATTTAGGAAAGAGGAGCGGCTCCTTCATAATATTTTTTGTCTTTAGAACTAACCTGGAATTCTGATTTTAGATGCTGGCAGTGTATTTCTTGAATATTACTAATGACTTTCAATTTGAACTCAAGACTTAGAAAAATAATTTCTTTAATCTAGTTTCTGATTGGTAGCTCTTTAGCAACAATGCAGAACATTCCATAATCTTTTGAACAATTCACTGCTTCTAAGAATCAGCTATGCAGCTTCAAAAGTGTAAGATATTTATGTGAGACCTGTTGATTTCACTATTGGAGATCTTAACTGTACCATGTTCTGATTCTAAAATGTAGTGAGATAGCATTTGAAATTTAATTGTACTCATTTTAATCTATAAGTGGATTCAAAGAATTAAAGAGAAAAAATGGGAATTGATAATGACCAATTTCATTTTCATGCCCCACTGCATGATATCCATCAATTACTTGTGGACATAGTCTTTCACCTTAACCATTCTGGAAAAAAACATTTGGGGATATTTTTGCTTTTTACAAAATGTTTGGCTTTTGAGTCGGGGTACATAATGGTATGACTATAGTATATTTGCCAGAATTATGGCCCATGTAAGAGATGAAGAATTGTGATAATGTTTTGTTTAAAAATTGCTCTGAGTCTTTAGCCAGTATTCTTATGCTTGGAAATGAATGATTCTTAGAATATTTGGGTTCTTGGTTCCCAGGAAAGATTTTTGGATTCATGGGAGAAATTTGAAGTTATATCTGGAGGTCAGGAGATTGTGGCTTGTCTGACCCATCATGGACTGAGCAGCTATAAGTATATTGCAGCTGAAAAAGATTGAGATACATGTTGAGATACACTTTTTAAAGGATCTTATCCTATTTATTACCTTCTAGTTTGAGGATGTTCCTTTGAATACTTTTGTTTGCCTCTTGTATCTTCACTATTCTGGTTAAAAGTAATTGATATACATTTAAGTATTTGTGGGGTATAAAACTGACCTTAGTAGATGGTGCTACAATATTTCATTTCTTTGTAAACTCAGTATATAGATCCAAAATATATTTCCAAACAGAAAATAAGCCAAAGAAGCTTCTGTGATGCTTAAGTATCCCTAAATTGACATAGGACGGCCCGTTTGTGTCTTTGTAGCAAATCAGAGATGCTAGATGTTGGCACACAGGTAGCTGTTGCGGTAGTAAGTAATCATAACTTGACAATGACCAAGGACTCACAGCACTTGGAGACATTAATTTAGGGGCATAGTCTAGAGCAGTTATGTTAACTTTATCTGTAAAGAGCCATGTAATAAATATTTTAGGCCAAGTGTTACTTCTGCTTTTGTAGCATGCAAGTAAGTACCTATGGACAGTATGTACACAAATACACATAGTTGTAGTGCAGTAAAATTTTATTTACAAAACATGTACCAGTCTGGATTTGCCTGCAAGCCATAGTTTCAGGAAAATAGGAGTAATCTTGAAGGCATCACTTTATACTGAATATAATTTATACTGATCACTGAGTTGTGAACTGTGCATTCAGTATTGCTAGTTGTGTGAAAGTTACAACTTTTTGAAAGATTTTCATTTGAAAACAGTTACTATTTTTGAAAGGTGCTGCTTAAAGGGAGTCAGTGGATCTTCTCATTTCCCAGGTAATGAATAAAAAATATTTGTTAATCCTGGCAATTTTAAAATATGAGCCATCTCCTTCAAAGAGCATCGCCTCTTACATATATATACAATTGGGAAAAATCCTGCAAAAGCACGTAATATTTTATATTTTGATGAAGGTGTATGATGTAGATTTCCAGGTCAAGTTTTTGCCGTAGTACTTACCCTGTTGATGAAGTTAAATGTTAATTTTCAGTGTGGTCTTTTGAAGTCTCTCAGAGTAACCTCAAGTGGAAGGGTGATTCCCCCCCCCCCCCCCCCACTGCTTGGTTTCTAGGACTCTCTTTTGACTTCTCCGTTTTTTTCTTTTTGTGTTATTTTTGTGTGGCAAAGTTTTAGTTTCTTTGACTGTGAATGAAATCTCATTTGAGGATTTTAAGAATCTTAAAAAAGTTTAACTTGATTTGGCTTGATTGTAATTGTGACTAGTATTTCAGAAGCTTTGCTGATGTTTAATTAAAGAAGTTGAATGTGTGACATTTTAATCTAAAATGTCTTAGTATATTTCTGTCTCTCTCAGCTTTTATGCTAATCTGCTGTTTCTTAAGTGACTAATACTTAAATGACTAATACTATGCTGTACATACTATAAAGGCGAACGGCTGCTTGGAGAACTACAAGTGAAGAAAAGAAAGCATTAGATCAAGCTAGTGAAGAGATTTGGAATGATTTTCGAGAAGCTGCAGAAGCACATCGACAAGTTAGAAAATATGTGATGAGCTGGATCAAGCCTGGGATGACAATGATAGAAATCTGGTAAAAGGAATATATTTTTGTAATAATGTGATAAAAATAAATTTTTTTAAGTCCTAACTCTCCAGTTGTAATGTTTGGGTTCCCTTACTACTTTGCTAAAACTTAAAGTGAGGGTTCAAGAATATCTTCAGAGCTCTTATACTATAAATGTAATGAGGAAACTGTTAAGAGGACATTTATACCTCAGACACCCTATTTTGTACTTTGTACACTTATATGTGCAAATGCACACATTACTCTGATTCTTATTTTCTGCTTGGAAGTCTGTTACTCTGCCATCTGGCAATCGCATTAAAATTATTGGTCACAAAACACAATGCAGTGAAGAAACCAATAAAAGTAATTTTTCTCTGGTTTTCCTTTTGAGTAGTAATTAGGTGTAAAAGGCAACAATTCTCTAATTCAGACAATTTTTAAAATGTGCAACATTGAGCAAATAAAATGTAATATTTATATTAGTCTAAGTGGAGAAGCTCACTTCCTAGTAACTAAGTTAAAAGTGGATTGTGTGATTCTCTTTCTCCAGATTTCTAGTGTAGTTAAATTTTTTTAAATCTTTTGTCGTTTAGCAATGAGCTGCTATTTTCATAGCATCAGAGAACTATTAATCACATCCAGGAATTTTTCAGATCACTCCCAAAAAGTAATTTAAGAGTTTTAGTTTAGTTTATTCTCTGGACCTGATGACATTTAAAGTTTATAAGTATAAAAATGTAAATATTTTTTTTGAATAGTGAAAAGTTGGAAGACTGTTCACGAAAACTAATTAAAGAGAATGGATTAAATGCAGGCCTGGCATTTCCTACTGGATGTTCTCTTAATAACTGTGCTGCCCATTATACTCCAAATGCTGGCGACACAACAGTATTACAGTATGATGACATCTGTAAGATAGACTTTGGAACACATATAAGTGGTGAGTTCTTGGAAACAATCCCATAATCCTACCTCCCGCTTCCCCTCCCCCACCCCCCAAAAGTAGTCTTTCCTCTGTTAGATGGGGCTCAAGTACTTGAACTCCCTTATTTTCTTCTTTATCCCTCACTTTTCAGTAGAATTATGTTGAGCCAGATTTTGAGATTTACTTTTAAGTATTCTATTAAATGGAGTATAATGCAAACCATTGGGTGGTTGAGGTTTATAACTCTTTGTATCAAGATGAGAAGAAATTAATATTCTTTATCTCCTCATGTTGTTTCAGAAATTTATCCGTTATAACAACAGAAAACATAGAACCTTTAAGTTTACTAACCTTTGTATACTTGCTACCTTATCTAAATTCTACCCCCAAACCTTGTTGAGTACCTTTTATCTCACTTAAGTAAGAAAAATAAAGCTCAGATAAAGTACTTACCTGAGGTTTTGCTAAATTGCAAAAGCTGCACGAAGGTCTGTAGACCTCTACATTTCCTCTGCCCACAGTACTGTTCCTTAGTCCCCCAGGTTTTTCTCTCTTTGATTTGTTTCTTTTGGTATTTTTGCTTATCTGCCTGGGTTGGTACTGTATTGGTGTTATCTTGAAATGTTACATACTGACCCTGGAATTAGTCTTTGCATTCTGAAACTTTTATATAACTTATTTATACTTTTTTTCACTTTGATTGTGAATGCTGTCCAGGTACTAGGACTGCTGCCTTCATTTGAACCCATCATTTTATTTGCCTGTTAACTAGGCAGGCTAATAGAATAGATGGCAATAAAGTAGACAAATTGACTAGCTGATATATCAACTAAAGAAGAATTTTCTCTTTCAGGTAGGATTATTGACTGTGCTTTTACTGTTACTTTTAATCCCAAATATGATACATTATTAAAAGCTGTAAAAGATGCCACTAACACTGGAATAAAGGTATGTGAACTGGAAGCACAATTTCATTCAACATATTTTGAGCATTTTATAGACTGTTTAAGGTCTTTGGGTTATGTAAGACTGATCCACTGCCTTTAGGGTTTTAAGTGGGCAATTGTAGTATGATATACCAAAGGCTTTTATAAAGGAAGTTATACTATACAAAGCAGTTTATCTAACTGTCCTTTATTTTAGAATACTAATAAATTGCAATAAAATTATGTATTTTGAGTAACAAGGTATATATGTCATTTTGTTTTTAGTGTGCTGGAATTGATGTCCGTCTGTGTGATGTTGGTGAGGCCATCCAAGAAGTTATGGAATCCTATGAGGTTGAAATAGATGGGAAGACATATCAAGGTATGTTTTTTAAAAATGTATATTATTTTAAAATACATATGACCTCTTGCAGAATTAATTTTGCAAAGTAGTGTTGAATGCTTTCTTCATCTCCTAGGAATATAAAGAGGGAAAACAGGGAAATTGACTTCCTCATATTAGGAAGACTGTGGTCACTATAAGTGGGAACTCTTGCCAAGCTACTGTGATAGCTGATAAGATACCCAGGGATTTATCCATGGTTGGCCAAAATGCAGGTTTTCTGTGACTAAGTCAAGTTGAGGCTCAGGAGAGAAGCTAGAAACTTTGTCCATTGATGAGCCTTTTGCCCTTTTTTTTAGTTCAGAATTTAGAGTCTAGTTAATTCCTTGTGTGTCTTTTCTTTAATCTTTATTCCCTTTGTCTCTTGGTCTTTCCCAGCCACTGCCTTAGGTACACAGTCCCAGAATCACCTGTGCTTTGTGCTGCTTTCCCAGCTCTCAGGGTCTGACCACTGTCCTCCTTCCTAATCTGTGCTGGTTTTTTTTTTTTTTTTTTTTTTTTTTTAATTTTTTTCTGAGAGAGAGACAGCATGAGCAGGGGAGGGTCAGAGAGAGAGGGAGACAGAGAATCTGAAACAGGCTCCAGGCTCTGAGCTGGCTGTCAGCACAGAGCCCGACGCGGGGCTCGAACCCACGAACTGTGAGATCATGACCTGAGCCGAAGTTGGACGCTTAACCGACTGAGCCACCCAGGCGCCCCTGTGCTCACTGTTCTCTAACTGCTGTTCTGATAACTTTCTTAGGGAGTATTTCCTATGTTTCCTTTAACCAATTCCTGTCTCTCCCTTGTAGTCATCTGAGCAGGGACATTCATGCCTCCTTGACCTCAGTAAATTCATATCATTTAGCATTCTTTGGGTGACCTTGTTGATACTGATAAACTACGGTGTTACTACCAACTGCAGAAGGTGTTCTTCCTCTGCAACCTGATGGTGTCTGTCCTTGTTGCTCACAAGTCCTTAATCCTGTGAGCATCAGTGCAAATCATTTAATTTGTGCAGTACAATTAATGTAATTGTCATTGTCTCGTTGTAGAGCTGAAAAAACCTTGCTACCTAATTCTGCCTTAAAAGAAAGGCAGCTCGTACTAAGAATTCTAGCACTGCAGAGGTAGATTTTTTTACACCATTTTTATTGTGGAATACTACTGAAAATACACGCAACATAAAGATTCAGTTAAACAATTGTGAAAGCTATGTCATTTTTTCCCTTGAGAAATAGAATATTGTCAGCATTCCAAAGGCCCTTCAATACTATATACCCTTTTGAATTATAGCAGTCTTCCTCTAGCAAACCATTGTCTTGAGTGCTAAAGTATTTACATTTGTTTTTCTTTGTCTTTATTATCTAACTATGCATCCTTAAACAACAGTTTGTGCTTAACTTTGATCTATATAATAATAAAACAGTATGTAATAATTGTGGTTGTTCTTTTTTCTTTGTTTTGTTGGTTGTTCAGTGTATCCCCAACCTTTCAGTTTTATTGTTGAGTAGTGTTCCATTGTGTGAATGTACCACAAATTATTCTGTAGTCGGTCTCAGGACCTTGGAGTAGTTTAGATTTTTATAATAAACATTTGGAATGTGCTATAATTGTAAATTTTAAGATTTTAATTAGGGTTTGCAAAGGGTTGGGAGAAAGGGAGGTGCATGCATCCTATTGTATAGGCCAGAACTCTCTGGAATTTTCTATACCCTGGTGGCAGTCCTGCTAGAATCATTTTTTGTCCTGGGATCTTCAAGCACTAGGACTGGAAGTCCAGCCCCTTTGTCAGCTGAAGAGAAAACTATGAATTGGTTTGTGAAAAAAAAAAAAAAATGTAAGGTTTTATGTCCTATCATTTTGACACAGTATCCTCATTTTCACATTACCTTTTGGTCCATAACCATAAAAATATTTTTTATATTTGTAATCATTGTGTACATGGCATTTTATAACTTTTTATTAACAATACCTCCTTAAGGGTACTTGGTTGGCTCAGTCCAAGAAGTGTGAGACTTTATCTCGAGGTTATGGGTTTGAGCCCCATGTTGGGTTTAGATATTACTTAGAAAAAAAAAAAATTAAAACTTCAAAAATGAACAAAAAACAATACCTCCTTAGATGGACCCCCATTGTTACCTCATCACATAGTTTATTCTTTTCTCATCATCTCCCTTTACTCCCTTCTAGTTTTTAATATATTGCAATTAACATCTTTTCCACTAGTTTTCTAGTTTAACTATGCCAATGTGAAGTTATTTAGTAGTGCCATATCATTTTTAAATCAGTGCTTGAACTCTGTGTCAGAAAGGCAAGAGATCTGTTTGTGCTTCTGAAATCCTCGAATAACGATTTTCCTATTATGCCAGTGAAACCAATCCGTAACCTAAATGGACATTCAATTGGGCCATATAGAATACATGCTGGGAAAACAGTGCCCATCGTGAAAGGAGGAGAGGCTACCAGAATGGAGGTATGTATGCCATACATACAAGTGTTTATTGTGAAGCATTTTGATTTTTTTTTTTCCAAACTAAAGTTAATAATGGTTGAGTATTTGGTATGTTGAGCAGAGTTAACTTGCCATCTGTACTGGTGTGTGTGAGTATGCAAATTGTATCTGGTTAGGCCAGGGCTTCCAGCTGTAGAACTTGGGTATGTCAAAGGATTGTTCATTCAACACTTAATGAATATTTACTAAGCATCTCTTAGGTGCCAGTTTCTTTAGTAGTCACTGAGGATGTAGTAGTGAACAAAATAAAATTCCCTACCTGTATAAAGCCTACATTCTAATAGGATAACATAGACTAAAAAGTGTTAAGGAGATAAAGCAGGGAAGGGGTGGATAATGACTGCCAGGGGTTGTTTCATGTTTCTTACATGAAGTAAATAATACCTCAGCCTGAAGTTAACAAATGGCAGTTTTAATTCTGAATTTTTCTTCTGTCCCCTTGACCTTACATATTATTTAGGAAGGAGAAGTATATGCCATTGAAACCTTTGGAAGCACAGGAAAAGGTGTTGTTCATGATGATATGGAATGTTCACATTATATGAAAAATTTTGATGTTGGACATGTGCCAATTAGGTAAGAAACTGTTGTTTTTATATGAGTATTAAGTTTCTTTTCCCAGCTGGTAGCATTTTAAAAAATGTGACATTCACAGTGATACATTCATTAATGTACAATTCTATAGCCTACCAGTAAGCTGTGTGGATTTTTATAATACAACAAGGAAATTGGCCTTAAAAATCTTAACTGAGATGAAAGTGATATAGACAAGTATTCTCTTCAGATCCAGTTTCTAATAATTGTAATACTTTCAGAGAGAATCATTTTGCTGGCATTTCTAGGTTTTTGTTCTTAATATTTTCCTATTGATAACTTTCTTTTTTTTACCTTTATTTCCCCCTTAAACTTTTTGAAGAAGATGGTTGAAGGATAGATTTATACCTCCTTTATGTGCAGGTCTTTCAGCTTGATGTAAAAAAAAGGAAATGAGCACCGTAATACTGTCAATGAGTCTCTACTGGGAATTTAACACACACGTGTGTAGACTCATAAGTAAACACGTAAGATAGTCTTCAGCAGGGCTCCCGTTCAGCTGCCATCTATAATTAGGTATGGGGCTGTTGTACATTCTGATTTTTGAATGTTGAAAGAGGCAACAAAAGTTTTTTGAAGTTAATTACTGAGTAAAACCACAGCTACCATATGAGTTTTCCTTAATGGGGAAAATGAGTTGGTAACTTTTTAGCCATCTGTTAATTTTGGATTTTCTCCTCTTAGGCTTCCAAGAACGAAACACTTGTTAAATGTCATCAATGAAAACTTTGGCACCCTTGCCTTCTGCCGCAGATGGCTGGATCGCCTGGGAGAAAGTAAATACTTGATGGCTCTGAAGAATCTGTGTGACTTGGGCATTGTAGATCCATATCCACCATTATGTGACATTAAAGGATCATATACGGCACAGTTTGAACATACCATACTGTTGCGTCCAACGTGTAAAGAAGTTGTCAGCAGAGGAGATGACTATTAAACTTAGTCCAAAGCCACCTCAACATCTTTTATTTTCTAAGCTTTGTTGGAATACATATACCAGAATTAATTTGCAACATGTTGTTTGTTTAACAGTGGACCTATGTAATGCTTTTATCCATGTTTAAAAAGGAAGGAAGGACTTTGATCAAATGCAAACCATCTAATGTAATTAGCCAAGGAAAAAGCTTTCAGGATTTCCAAATGTTAACTGTTTTTCCTGTCTAGGAAATGCTATAAAGCTCAAATTAGTTAGGAATGACTTCTACATTTTTTTGTTTTGAATACCTAAGAAGAGATGCTTTTCAGATATTTATATTGCCATATTCTTAATTGAATGCTCTGAATGACTACATCCAGTTCTGCACCTATACCCTCTGATATTGCTTTTTAACCTTCCTGGAATCCATTTTCTAAAAAATAAAGACATTTTCAGATCTGAGAGCTACATTTGAATGTCTGTGGTTATAATTCTGCACAGGAAATAGCTAAACTTAATAACATAGGGAATGTAGAGCCTTTTATCTGGATTGTAGACCTCTACACTGAAACTTTTCTTCTGACATAATAGCTAAAACAAGATCTATACATGCCTAATGTGGGAAAATCTTCATAAATTAATATGAATTTTAGGGATAGTTTACTTTTATTTTTAGAGCCATATTAGTCTTTGTCTTTCATTTTTTTCCCCCTGCCGTTATGAAGATTAATTGAAACATGACCTAATAGGAACATTGTACCAACTTGAAACCTTGATTTAGTAAATCTTCAGTATTTAGATTCTTTATCCAGTGGTAGTATTTATCAGGAAATGTATTCAGCTTACTCAACAAACCAAAAGGGCATTTAAAACTACAAATACTAGAACTGGAAAACTTCCCATATTGGCTCTTGCTCTAGTTAGAAAAGTTAAATTGAATTATTAGGCTTTTCCATTAATGAACCAAATTCACCCTGCCCCTCAACTGGCTTGAATTCAAAACTATGGGTGGCATTTCAGGAAGTGAGGTTACAGTAACCCTAATTATGGCAGCTAAATGCATAAGTTGAATGTAAGATGCCTAACATTTACATGTTTGAATTGAGTCCCACTACAGATTCTTGGACAAATTGCCTGAATTCTTTGTAACTGATTTGTTGGGAATGTTCCAACACAATTTCAAAATGTTTATGTACCAAGGTAAAGCCTTAATTTGTATATGCTTTAGCACAAGAAGATTCACTGCCTCTGGGATGCTGTTTAGTTTGTATTTTAATGTTCTTCTCATAGGAAGAAAAACTGGATTTCTGTACTTAGATCATTTACTATATATACAGCATTAGAGCTATAAATGAAATGTTATGGGATAAACTATCTAGTTTTCAGTTATATGAGCCATGTTTATTATGGTGCTAATGTTCAATAGCTACTTTCAGATTAGTTTTTCCATTTTCTGTGATGTGCTAGTGGCAGAGCTCACCAACTCATGCTTAGACATGTTTCAGGGCTTGGGCCCTCCAGCTAGTTCATTTGGGGTTCTGAATCCATACTTTGATGTGTTTTGGTGGGAGATACAAAGTATCTCAATTTCTAAGCTCAAGAGTTTTATAATTTACCCTGTGAGTGAAGAATATTGGAGTTTTATAAGACCTCTTTTGCAGTAGAGATTTCAAACCAGTTCTGACATCCAAGCTCTCCTCCCAGTAACTTGTGGGCAGTAGCATTGCTGCACACCCCTGGAATAGCTGGAATATGATCTTGTAAATAGGAAAGCTGTCACTTAAAAAAATTGTATTGTTTACCTACTAGCCATGTATCTCTTGAAATCATTTTGTTATGTTTACAATGATGTACCTTATTAGTAACAAATTATTAGTTGATGTTTAACAAATAGTGCCTTTAGTAAATTATTTTACAACCAAAACACGTTGTTTTTTGTTAGATCAACTTAGCCGAATGCAGAAATCTACACTGAGGTGTACAATAAGAAATCTTAAGTTTGTGTTCATTGGCTAGGTTTTGGTTTTGTAAATTTAATACATTTTTTATATCCATTTTAGGTTTATAGCAAAATTGTGCATCAAATACAGAGTTCCCATATACCCCCCCTTGACCTCACACACACACACAGCCTTCCCCCTAGGTTTTAGTTTTGAGGGATTAAAAAATAAAAGGGTCAGTTTCTTTCTCATATATTTTTATAGTGAAATAAGTACTGAAACATCTGTACCATTCATTACAAACAGCAAATCTTCCAGAGTTGTTTTTAAATTATCTCCCTAAAGTCAGGTGCTAAAGTGTACAGCAGTTCACTAAAGTAATCCTTGAAATTAAAAAAGGCTAGACTCAGGTATCTTGACCACATAAATCTTTAATGAGGTATAATTATGTTAACAGTTGAGGTAACAATTTGCATAGGTATTTAGATGAACAATTTTAAACTTTAGCCATTTAAAACTCAGGCTGTATTTTGGTATAAATGATTTGTCTGTTCAGTGATAAATTCTCATTGCACTTCATGATCAGCTGCCCCAATGACTTGCTCTCTGAAATTTAAGGAAAATTTGCTAAAAGAGGTCCTTTTCAAGCTTATACTTAATAGATGAACACCAACAGAAAACAGCATCCTATAGGATATTATCTTTCATGAAGATTTCAACCTACCAGCAAACTTAGAATAAATGATCTTCCAGTGGTTAACACTGAGCTAAGATGTGAAAGAGCTGATCTACAGAGGTTAGTGGATAAGTTAGCAGCAGTAGGATTTTAAAGAGATCTAGTAAGATTATTTGGGAAGAACAGAGTATTTCATAGTATATTTATAATAAAATTGAAATTTAGATAATTTTTTAAAAGGGGCCAAGTGTTTGAATATCTGAGGTTCCTAGTCTTCACATAATCGAAGCAAGAGTAAGTAATCCAAGCCTTTAGTTATTTAATGAGATGCTGAACATATTGCCCAGTTGTCAATTTTGAACAATTATCTTCTCTGTCCTAAGCAATTTTTTCCTCTTCAAGAAGACTTACTTTTTTCTAAACTAAAAATCTCAAGATATGATAGAGTACAAAGCTTTTAAGAGATCTAATGTTAAACACAAAATAAACTCATATCCAAGTTAAACTGTACTTGCTTACCATAGTGCACTGCTGAATTTAGATTTTTGATAAGACTGCTTTATTAGAATCTGAACAAACCTGTTTGCTGCCAAACAAATCATTGTAAGTCCAAGCCATCATTGTTTTCATGTCTACAGTACTGAAGTAATTTAAATATACTGTTTATAAAGCTGTCCTTTTCATTTGTATAAAGTTTGACTATGCCAATTAAAGAACAATTATTAAAACTTAATAATTTTTGGAAAAAATGACGTTCCATTAGCTGAAGTAATGTCTGTTCTGAGTCCTGTAACACAAAAAGCCTTAGGAATGTCAATTAGTGTGACTGATGAGTATTTAGGTAGTATCTTGGTATTTCACAGTACCTTCAAGGGGCAAAGGTAACTTCAGTATACAAATTGCCTGAATTTTTTTTTTTGTAGGACTATTAGTGAAGACTAATTTCCACCTAATAAGAATTTGTATAGAAAATACCTACAAAAGATAAATAAAAAATGTATAAAATGATGCCACCTCAACTTCAGTAAAAGATTGCACAAATTCATGATCTGAGCCAATTAAGACATCATAATATAAAAGAGGTAATGCCAGTCTGAAGTAAACACTGAAAGTTTAAAACTCCCAAGTTCTTGAAAAAGTTTAGTTAATTGCTGTCACTGATACACACGCTTATGCTCATTTTGTCTCTGTAATGAAACAAGTTTGTTGTAGATACAAAATGTATAAACAGTGTGCATGGATTCCTAAGTAAAAAATTAAAACAATGAAGCTCAAAATTATAAGCCCTTTAAAAAAGTATAGATAAAATCACAAGAAGAAAGCCCCACTGTCTTTGGATCAGCTAAGGATTTCATTAGAAGAGGTATCAGCTTCTTCACTGGGATGTTGGCTACCAGACAGGAGTTCTGGAGGCAAGAGTTTAGAATGTCCATTCTCAGTAACTCGCTGGGTATAAAACAAGATATAAGCTTGGGCCTTGCATACTTCATCCATAGTGCACATGCTTAGCTTGGAATCATTGCAGTGTACCCAGAACCCTAGAGTGAAGCACAGAAATATACCTTAATGTTTATGAAGGAATTTTAGAAGTTTTTAGTATAAATTAAAATGTATTTAAAGGCACTAGTTTCAGTGAGAATTATCTTTGAATGGAAAATAGCCAACTCATTTCTTTTAATGGGAACTATAGTTAGGGCAGTATGTTACTCTGGATTGATCTACCTTTATTCTATAAGTAATATGAAGTTAAAGAATCTGATTGGTTCACCTGACACAATCTTTAATTCAAGGTATAATCTTAACCAGTTAACGTTTTTGCTACTAACCTACTGTAAAGCGAACAGTGTACAATTCACTCTTGGTAGTTTATTGTTAAATTAATTGCATTCATAGATTATGTGGGCTTTTTGTCCATGTGTCTTTTGTGTTTGTTTTGTGTAGGGTTAGGGGGAATGGTATGAATGGGGAGGCTCAGTCTTTGTTCAATAGTAGGTAAGGAAGGGGAAATAAAAAAAGGAAACATAAATCACTTGCTATCTATGCAGACTCTCCTTGATGGTCCATGGAGGCAAAAATTGAAAGTGAGTTTTGTTAAAACCAAAACTTAGAGTTCTAAATATCTGTGATCTCCAGTTTATTAGATGGTCTGTTCTCTAGCAAAATTAACTAGATGAAACCAGTACACAGAGGATTTGCCCTTAGAAATGGGCCTGGAATAGAAGATGGCACTTAGGGCGCCTGGGTGCTCAGTCGGTTAAGTGTCCGATTTCAGATTAGGTCATGATCTCACAGTTCATAAATTCAAGCCCTGCGTTGGGCTCTGTGCTGACAGCTGGGAGCCTGAAGCCTGCTTCGGATTCTTTGTCTCCCTCTTTCTCTGCCCTCCCTCACTGGTGCTCTGTCTCTATCTCAAAAATAAA